TTTGTTTGTTTTGTTTTGTTTTTTTGTTTGTTTTTGTCTTTTGTTTTTTTTTTTTTGAGACAGGGTTTCTCTGTATAGCTTTGGAGCCTCTCCTAGAAGTCCAGAAGTCCCTCAGACTCACAGAGATCCACCTGCCTCAGCCTCTCGAATGCTGGGATAAAAGGAATGTGCCTCCACCGCCCAGTTTGTTTATTTTGAGGCGTGGTCTTGCTACGTAGCCTAGGCTGATCGGAAACTTCATCTGCCTCTTAAGAGCTGATATTGCAAGCAGGTGTTGCCGCACATAGCTTTTGCTTTTAAATGTGAGCAGACAGGCATGAGACATCAGCCATGCATGCTGGATGTATAGATCTTGATGGATCTAAACAAACACGTGAAAAGCAGCAGCTGGGCTGCGAGCAGAAAAAAAAATCTTAGGAACAAACACGTGAACACCTCTGGTTAATAGCTTCACGTGGGTAAGCAGAGATGGGGGGGAGAGGAAGGCGTGGTACAAAACCATCTAGAGATGAACACTTTATTTCCTGATGTTAAGTGTAGCAGAAAGTTTCTGATGTTAAGTGTAACTGATTTTAGAGGCTAAAATTAAAGAAACCATCCAGAAAGTCAGTTTAAAAGTTAAGAAATAGAAAAAAGGAAGATACTAGAATTCAAAAAACCCAACACTGATATACAGGGGTTGCAGAAAGAGAATATAAAAAAGGTAAGGTATTTTCAAAGAAATATTTAAAAAGTTGCTCCTGGGGGCTGGAGAGATGACTCAGTGGTTAAGAGCATTGCCTGCTCTTCCAAAGGTCCTGAGTTCAATTCCCAGCAACCACATGGTGGCTCACAACCATCTGTAATGAGGCCTGGTGCCCTCTTCTGGCCTGCAGATAGAATACTGTATACATAATAAACAAATAAATAAATATTTTTTTAAAAAAGTTGCTCCTGGATGCTGTGTGAAACTTTTGCACCATGGAGCTGAAGAAAAGATCCTGAGATGTCCCAGAGATTAAAGAGAGCAAGGACAGGAATGGCGCCGACTTCTCACCGCCTTCCCTTACCACCCAGATGGAAAATGACCTCATGCCCTGTTTCTTAGTAAGCAAGAAGAGGTAGATTCAAGGCATTTCAGAGATGCAAGTTTAAAGTGTTTGGCATCCTTTGAATCTTTTCCAGAAAAATACTGGAGAATGAACTCCACAGTCAGCAAATGCTTCAGGAAAAATGGAAAATAAGACCCAAGAGCTGGGGACCTTCTTTGTAGGCAACCACTTGTTTCAGGCTGCATGAGCCAAGCGACTGCTGGATGTGGGATTCTCAGTTACGGAGATCTCAGTTGGCAGGAGGTGGCAGGTGTAGAGCCACTCAACTGGGCAGGTGCAAGCTGATGCACGATTAATAAAAACCCAGAGACTGATACTGGGGTTCAGCCTGAAGACCAGAAAAGCAAAACAGCCAAACAATTGCTCTTACCTCAACCTCAGTTCAAAATGGCGATTCTGCCTCCAGGAATCTCAGAATGAGACTGTATCTGAGAGCTGTCTCCTCCCATTTTATAATTCTCTCTAGGGCTGGGATTAAATGCATGCACCTCCTAATTTCTATGGTAACTAGTGCATCTACTGGGATTAAAGGTGTGTGTTACCACTGCCTGGTCTATAAGACTGACCAGTGGGGCTGCTTTACTCTCTGATCTTAAGGCAGTCTTTATTTATTAAAATATGGATAAAATGCCACCACAGCAAGTTGTCTCCAGGGAAAGGCGCGGGTACAAATTTGCCAGCGAGTGTTAGGGTTTGAAGGAATTCTTTCTGGGGAGAGTTTAGGGATAAGAAAGTTGCAGACACCAAGGACAGTAGTGAGGACAGTGGAAACAGTGAGCACGTAGACTCAGCTAGACCCCTTTCCCAGTTACGGTTATTCCATGTAGCCAGCCAGCGGTAAGGCTTGCCAAGGAGTATGGTTCCCAGACCCAAGGGACCACAGAAAGGCCTTTAACTTGCTTAGGAATGGTCATGGCCTGTGAGCCAGTGGCCTTTTCTCTCCAGAGTAGTTGTTTTTAGGACACCACACTGGCTCTCACTGGCTCCCCAGGCCTCTGGTGCTTACATGGTCAACCCCTCTGTCACAGCTGCAGCATAGGTGTCCCTTGAGCTGCCTCAGGCTGAAACTGGGAGGGCTTTGTTCCCATGTGTTCCCTCTTGAGTTTCCCTTCTGGTGGCCTCTCGGGATTCCTGGACGATGAGTCACGCTGGAACGGTCTGACTTCTGCAGGCCACTGAGGTTATTGTCCTCTGTTGGACCCTGCTGGGCCTTTCCTAACATCGAGGGCCCCTTGTGCAGCCTGCATTTGCTTGGCCAGAAGAGTGAGGCAGAAGAATGAACCCTGCTCTGGTGCCAGCGGCTTGCCCTTCTCAAGGGCAATTGCTTAAAGTACTTGGAAATATTGGCTTTGCTTTACTCGTGTGTTCTGAAATCCCAGTTTTTAAAATGTGTTTTGATTTTGGAATTGTACACTATTTTACATTGTCTTTTATACATCTATTGAAATGAACATATGTTTATTAACTAGTAAATTCTGAAAACATAGTCTCCTGTGTGACTATATCAAGATTCATAAACCTTCCATCACCTCATCTCCTGCTATTAGTAAACTGAGAGGCCCTCCCTAAAATCAGCCGACAAGTCTCCTGACTTATCACCAGTGCATAGGTTTTCTGTTCTTAAACTTCCTCTGGATGAAAACAGAACAGATTCTTCCTTCATATGTCTCATTCCTTTGGTTCAGTTGTTTTTTGAGACCACTTCATGCTATTACTATTATTTTCATTTTTTAGCTACTGAATATGAATCAACTACATATTATTCACCCACTCCCCTCCCCCACTCCCCGCCTTCTTCCAGTGCAGAAGATCAATACCAGGGCCTGGCAGATTATAAAAACATGACTTAGATTTCTTGATTTGTTTCCAAGAGACACGGATAGGATGGATGTCCAGAGTCTAGAAAGGTAAGAGCTGGAATGAAGAGACTGTCTCGGTTTCCACGCCAGAGGCCTTAAGCCATGTAAGTGGTGGTAGAAATTTGGAACTGTTCTTTGCATATCATTCTGCGAACATCAATCAGACGACACACTCAGGCTGTCCCCAGATAGCTCACCCAAGCTGTTTCCCAGATAACCCACTCATGCTGTCTCCACCTAACTCACCTAAGCTATCCCCAGCTAACCGTTCAAACTATTCTTCTGCATAACTTTTTAAACCACATTTCAAAGTAAAGTGGGAGAAATCAAAGACAGGGAGTGGATATCATTCCAAATCCATGAAGAGTGAGTACCATCTTGGAAGCTGGCCCTGGAATTTCTGTCATGTTGACCTCTGACACGGACTGTTTGAATGTTAGCTGTGACTTTGTGACACATTACCCTTCGGGCTGGAAAGTGTTGCCATACCTATGGGTCAGAAATCCAGAGCAGGCTTGCTGGGTTGTGTAATTTAGGGCTTTCCATGAGGCGTAGTCAGAGTGCCGAGACAGGATTGCCCAGTCAGGTGGCTCCTTGAGGGGACACTGCTGAGAACCAGAACAGCAGCTGCAGGGCACAGGTAAGCTTTCCTTTGCCCATCCAAAATGCTGGCCCCAAAGCATCCTCTTTCAGGGCTTGGTTCAGCACACCAACGTCTTATTCATAAGTGTACAGGATGTTCCTAAAGTGGAAATGATCAGAAGGATTACTCCTGTAGTCTCACTCCTTAGTAAGCTGCCAGCACACAAGCAGGGTACGGCTGAGGTCTGTTAGCTCTGTGCCTCTCCCATAGTCCTCTGCCTGAGTCTTTTGTAATTGTTTTATAATGAATTGATAAGCGTATGTAAATGTCTTACTGAATCTTGTGAGCCATTATGGTCAATTATGTATGAGACCTGAAGAAGAGACTGTGGAAAACCTGATCTCTAGCCATTGTTCAGAAGGAGGACTGGGAATTGGCTCAGCAGTTAAGAGCACTTGCTGCTGCTTTTCAGAGACTCTGGTTCCGTTCTCAGTACCTCGCCACCATCCATAACCCCAGCTTTAGTCCCAAGGGATGTGACACCCCATTTTGACCTACTTTGACACAAGGCATGCGCATGGTATACATACATACATTAAGCAGCACACTTATACCCATAATGTAAATTTAACTTTTTTAAAGTGCAGACTGTTCAGGACTCAATGGGTGTCTGGAATGAGCACGGTCCTGTGAGACTAAACCCATAGTCTATCAGATAGACCTTTACCCCAGGTAGAGTCAAAATTGAATTGAAGCTTATATAGTTAGTATCTAAAGAATCTGAGAATTCCTTATTGTGAATGGAAAATCCCACATATTAGTAACAGAAATTGTTTTACCCCTTTGTATTAGTTTGAAAGATAGGATTAATGAGATATACATGTGCACACACATACACAATGGGACAGATAAGAAATTGCTCATGTGATTGGGGATGTTAAGGACTGTACCATCTGCAGGAGACCAAGGGAGGCTGGTGGAAGAGCACAATGGAGAATGATGGGTAGATTCGAATTCAAGCCTGAACCTGAAGCACAGTGGGCAGAAGACCACCCTGGCTG